AGGGGTAATGTTATCCTAAGTTATTGATTTCCTTTTCTCTTAAATTCTTGTACCATGTGCTTACCCAAAAGAAATGGTAAATGGGAACTTTTCAGATTCATGAATGATAAAAAGTATGGTCTTGAAAGTGAGTATCATTTTGAATTTTAATTCGAGTCATGAGAGGTGAGAGGGCATGCTCTAGCAATAGATATTGTTCATTTGTATGTTCATGATTGTTGTTTAGCATCTGTGAGGGCATGAATGTGGCAACCATTTTGGGACCGTCGGGTTTCTTTTTGAGGAAGTTTTGAATGGAATGAACATCATCAATATGTTTGCTCTAATTTGTTACGAATGTTCATTGATGCTACATTTTATTAAAATTTTGAGTATGAATCAAAATCAGCATTTAGTCGTGTGAGTTCTAATTTTAGAGTTTGTGAAGTTAAGTTAAAATGATTTTCTTAAACTCTTTATTATTTATAAAAATAAGAGTTCAATAAACTCTTTATTTTTTAAATATAAATTAAAGAATGAGTTTGACTGTTAAATCTTACTTTATATCTTATCAAGTTTATTTATTATTTATTTCTTCTATTAAGTTTCTTTCTTTAAAAAACATATCCTCTTTTAAAATTTAAAATTTAAAGTTCATTGGATTTGAATAAAAAATTTGTTTTTTATATTTAAAAATATTTTTTATTTATATAAAATAGTACAATTGGAGATGCTTTAGTGTGATTTGTGAGACATTAGCATTAGAGTATTTTTAAATGACTTTTTATATGATTCAAACTCTTTATTATAAAGAGTTTATCTATAAAAATAATAGTCAACAGATGTTTTATTTTTTAAATATAAATTAAAGAATGAGTTTGACTTTTCACATTTAAAGAGTTAAATTTCACTCTCTATCCTAATTTTAAATAATAAATTACAAGTTTACATGCATTTCATTTATTATTTATCTGTTTTATTAATTTTTTTTTGAAAAAACATATTTTTTCTTAAAATTTAAAGAGTTTATTGTATTTGAATAAAAAATTTATTCTTTATATGTAAAAACTAATGAATATACTCTTTATATATATGAAAGATATTCTTTAAAATAAAGAGTACTATTAAAGATGTTCTTAATTGTTTCATACACTAAAGTTTCAAGGCTTTACATTGAGAAATGAATATATATTTAGAATCGGTATGATATTGGCTCCGTTTGGTTCATAATTTTGTGTTTTTGAGAAAAGTTTTTTGAAAAAAGTTAAAAAAAAGTTGAATTGGGCGGGTATTACGATGTAGGATTTACAAATTATAAAATACCTCATATGTTTGTTTTTTTACAAAACACCCCTTATAATAAAACATTAAAAGTTAACAAAAACACCTCCAATTCACCCTCAAATACGGACAGTCGGCCACCACCGCCGGAGGGTGGCCGGAGTCGCCGTAACAAAAACATTAAAAATATTTAGGGGTATTTAATTGAATTAACAAATTTATTTGTTTTAAAAAATTTTGAATAAAGTTGAATAATATTGTGAGTTTTTGGGTATTTTACTGTTTAACTTTTTTGAGAATACTAAAAGTAGTATTCCCAAAATCCAACCAAACGAAGCCATTATTATATTAAAAATTTAAGACCTTGCTTAATCACCACCTAATGCTCTCATATATATAAAATTTATTTATGGTTATAATTTATTCATGGTTTTGATAAGGGAGAACGACATTTTTCCACCTAAGGTTTGATGAAATGACACTTTCCCACTAGTCAAGTTTTAAAATAATACTTTTTCACCGTTCGTTAGGTTCTGTTAGTGTTTTTTGTTAATATTTGACTGAAAAGACGAAAATACCTTTAAATAGTTTATTTCTTAATTAGTTTATTATAAATTAAAATTTAGTTAATTTAAATTCTTTATTCGATTATTTATTAGTCAAAGTATAAAGATACATTTATTTATTTAATTAATTAGGAATATTGATTTTTAATGTTAATTAGTAAAAATGAAAAATATTATAAATAAATATTAAGATTATTTAATTTTAAACAATTTTATAGCATTACTCCTAACTTCTTAGATGGTGTTAACTATATTTTCTTTTTTGTATTTTTAATAGTTGACTTTTTGGTTAATTAAAAAATAATAAAAAATTTATAAAGTAAAGTATTTAAGGGTATTTTCGTATTTTCAGTAAAATATTAACGAAAAATATAACAGAACCTAACGAAGGATGGGGAAGTATCATTTTGAAACTTGATAGATGAAAAAGTGTCGTTTTGCCAAACCTTGGGTGGGAAATTGTCGTTCTCCCTTTTGATAATCATACTGTATAGTCATTCTCTTAGGCAGACATTCTAAAATTTTTTATGTTCAGACCAAGGGTAAGTGTTTAGGCACTTACTTCAAAAACCCTATAATGTGAAGTGAGCGTGTAAGCAATTTATCCTTGTCCACACATAAAAAATTTTAAGACGATTGTATGAGAGAATTATTAGTAATACTAGTTTTATAAAGAGACATACAAAGAAGCATATAAAGAGACAAATTTAACCTTTAAGAGAGAGAGAGAGAGAGAGAGAAAATCATGAATTTTAAAGACTGGATTTGTCTCTTTGTAAGGTTAGTATTACTCATTATTATATATATAAACTAAAACATCAAAATTTGAATAAATCTCAATTATTAACAAGATTTATCATCTCAAATTTAAGGTCCTAATGATAAAAATTATCAAGAACAAATGTTCTGATAAGAGAATTTTGTGTGTATGTATGTAATTATAGGTTGAAGAAGGTGACAATGGCTTTAACAACCCTAATGAAGAGGTGGCTCCTAACATTACATAGGACCACATGTACAATTAACTACATAAACGCAATTAAATTTGAGTGTAAAATTAGGGGTAATTTGTGCATTTTAAACATTAACAAATTTGTCATGTTTTAAATAAGTGTCATTATTACACAAATAATTTCAAGCTTTTTTCTGTTAGGAGTTTCAGGACATATATCACTTGTGAAACTTATAAACAATATGACTTTCTATTTTTACATTTTTCATATTGATTTTTAATATTTAGATGAGAATATTTGAACTTATATTGTATCATTGCATTTATGAGTTTTATTTCAAATTATTTTCTTTATAAATAATAAAAAATTGAATTAAAACTTATATACATAAATGTATTATTACTCGTTTATGCTTTCAAGAGTTGATTGAATCATAATTTAATAATAAATATTAGTCACAATAGCATAATTTAATCTAGAAATTCTTTTTATTTTATTTCTTAATTAAAACTATTGAATTACATATAAATATAATTTTAAAACTTAATTTGGTCAAGTTAACCTTCTACTTGATGTTAAATCAATTTAATATAAACCATCATTGGATTGTCCATTGGTCAACTAGGACTTTTGGGTGTATTACTTAAGAGGTATTGACTTTGATCCACCTAAGTTGCTAATAAAGGTGATTACTGAAGGAATTTATCGGGTTGTTAACTTTAGAACCCCGCGAGATTAGTTAAGGTGCGCTCAAGCTAACCTGGACACTTCTATCACAAAAAAAAAAAAAAAAAAAAAATCAATTTATTAAAAGCCCTGTAAATAATTATAATAAAATAAAAATAATGTTTTACATAGGATGATCTTTTCCCTAAAGACAATTCTTGGTCAAACAAAGCATAAACATTATATCAATACAACAATTATTATAAGAACATAGTATGCTTCATAATATAATAACATTTTATTTATTTATAATTTGTTTATTTATAAAATATCCATGATGAGTTTAAAGGTTTGTTTTTAAAATAATTAATTAATTAATTTACATTATATACTGGTAAAGATCTAAAAAATCTTGCCAATCTGCCAATCTGCCGGTCTAATACTAATGGTTCTATTCTTAGTAGCTTTTTATTAATTAAAATTAAATTTTATTTGGGCACTCTTTTTTTTTTTTTTTTAATATATATACAAATTTATTATGATTGCCAAAAAAAAAAAAAAAAAAAAAAAAATTGATATTATTGGAGCTTGGTATTTGTTGATAGTTATTAATGTTTCATTTACTTTAAAAAGCATAGCTTGCAATTAATTAATAAATAGCATGGGCAATAGTTCCTTTTTGCCCACAAAAAGTGCCTTGATTCCTCTTTCATTATCATTATTAATAATAAAATTAGTGAATTGATTTTTTAATCCAAATAATTCAATAAATAGATTACTTTTTATTTTATTCTTAAACATAAAATTTAACCATTAAACCCACATATATTTTTATAATTAATGAAGTATAATATAATAATTAGAAGAAATACCAACAAATCAAGTTATTGTAAATTGTAGGATAAGGATGAAGTTTTTAGTTAGAAACAAGATGGATTCTTATCCAATATTTTGAAATATTCCCTCAATCAAATATCATAAAATGACCATAATTTAATAAAACCACTCCAAATTTCTTGTTTTCCTTTCATAATCTTTTTTGTTTATATTATCTGTAACCATTAAATAAGAATGAAAAGACATATTCAAATACCCCGATATCATACCATTCGGGACCATATAATAAAAACTTCATGTGTTTCTTATATGGTATATATATATATCCAATTTTCATATCATCAATCAATTCAGTATCTTTACGTGTTTTTTTTTATATGGTAGATACTGATATCCATACCATACAATACATTCAGTATCATATCATAGAAATCTTATGAAAAAAATTGAAGAATATGAAGAGAAAGTGAAATGAAATTTCCTGAAATAGAGAATAAACTATATAGTATATCAATATGTATATGTAAAGTACATATTTATATTAAAATGTTAAAGAAAAAGGCAAAAAGTGAGAGGAGACATGGCAATGCCATGCATGGTTATGGTGTTATGGTAATGGGAGAAGTAATTGCCAAATCTCGTAATGTAGTTGGTGAGTGTTGTTGTTGTGTTTGGTTCTTTTGTAACTCACTCTCTCATTTCTACAAATACACACACTTTGAAAACTTCTTCATCTTCTTCTTCACGCCGCCTCACACTTTCTTTAACCTTTCCTCTTCACTCTCCTCTCTCTTTGCATTCCCTCTAAATCATTGTAAACCCCTAATTCTCTCCCAAAGAATTAGTCTTTTTGTGTTTTTGATTGTGTTTTGTTTTTTTTTTTCTTTTAGCTATGGTGGTTTCATTGTCTCTCTAATGCCAGCTATCTTCTCTTGCTGGTGAGTCCTTGATCGTATCAAAATCATTTCTTTTTCTCCTTTTCTGCATTGTTCTGTGTTTTTGTTTAGCTGAATTGGGTTTGTTTGTTTTTTGGTTTTTGATTGGTTTATTTTATCAAGATTGAATTTTGATTGTGTTTTGATGATTATCCTTTCCTGGGTTTGTCCTTGTTTGATGACATGGTTGAATTTTCGGGTTCTGTTGGTATTAGATTTGTTTACACAAATCTAATCTTTTTGATTCTCGTTATGATATGTTAAAATCAATAAAATTGGTCTTCAATTGGATTAATGACTCTGATGATGGATTGGTGAGGATATAATTTGTTCTAAACCACTCTATGATTGATTTTGAACTAGTCTCTTGACTCTTAATGCTTTGATGCTTTGATAACTCTTTTATTTTCATAAATGGTTTATTTTCTTTTTGTTTTTTGATTATATTTTATTTTATAATGGATGCTAAAATAGCAGTCACTATTGTAGTGTCTGTGTTTTGATTAATGGGTTAGTATTGATGGTGGAAAACTTCAAAAATTGTCTGGGAGATTTTGTAGTTTTCACAATGTGGGTTGTGGTTCATGTATAAATGACAATCAGAAATGAGGTTGATGCTCTTTAATATAGTGGGTTTGTGCAAATCCTGTTCAAGTTTCATTTTTTATTTTTTTATTTTTTATAATTATGATAATTTACATTGTGGATGTCTGTCTAACATAGAGTTTTTGCTGCATTGTAAGGGTCTTCCTGTGCGTCTACGTTGCCTAGTGGTTTAGAATCTGTTTGGCAGAAAGGAGTTCTTAAGTTATTCACAAAATGGAAGATGGAAGAACTGAACTAGGGGTTGATGAATTTGAAAAGCTTCTTGGGGAGATACCGAATGCTACATCCGGGAATACACATTCCGAGGAATCTGGACCGAAGAGGGTCTCTTCAAATTTTGGCTTGTTGCCTATCAGTGTCAATTCCTGCAAAGGGCCTTTGACTGAAAAACTCAAAACCAATGGAAGTTTAGATGAAGGAAAGATATCAGTGGATAAACCTCGTCAGTCACCAATCAAGAGGATTGGACAGCAGGAAGCAAATCTTCCTGATGACCAGTCCTTGACATCTGCATTTGCTGATCTCAGATTTAATGGGGGAATAATGATGGAACCTGGGAGTCCTTGGGCAAAATCCTCACCGAATCATACTGTTTTATTGGATTCCCAATACACAAGCAGCTTAAAGGAACCGGTTTCTAATGTTGATCCGCGACTGATGGTTGTTTCCTCTTTCCAATCAACAAATAACAAACCCTGTGGTTTTGATGAATTCAATGTGGCAAAAGTTAGACAAGAAAGTTCAAATGTTGTAAATCCTGATTTTCAAGAACTCAAGAAGACGCAGGTTGGTTATTGTCAGCCAGTTGAAAATTTCTCTGCTGCCTTGCCGCTTGCTCATGGGGTGCAGGGTCTCCAGTTCCTATCTAATTTGCCTGTCCCTGGTGTGGAGTTTCCTGTAATGTCTGATCAGCAGCACTACTTTGCCGAAGCACAATCCTCGTTTCCTTACTTACATTCACAACATTTAAACCAGCCTAATATTAGTTGGAGTAATATTGAACAGGAACAATATCATAGGATGCATCAGCAGTACTTATTTCTGCAGCAGCAGCTTCGGAATCAGCGAACGGAAACCCAGAATCCTATTCAACTGAATGGAAATATTCCAACTAAGCTAATTGGTCGTAACCTAAGACAACCATGTTTTGAGATACCAAACCGATTTGAACAATCTAATCAAGAAACATTTTGGAACACTTATCCAGTCCCAAGAGGTATGAACCAACCAAATCCTGCTTTTTCCTCCACTGAGTACAATGCTATGCATGTTTTGGGAAAAGTGGGAAAGCAGACATGTCCTGAGAAGATTTTAACAAGATCACAGGGATTAAACATGCTTAAATCTGTCAAATTTGGAGCTGTTGCAGGAAATGAATTGCTATCTCATGGAAACCAGAATGGAAAAGTTCTATCAAATGGTCATGTATGCCTTAGCTTATCTAATCCAAATGTTGGATGCATTGAGCTTGATGGTCTGAACTCGTGGTCTTTGTCCCATGACACTACAGATCTCAAAAGTACTAATTTGAGGCCTCAACCACATAAATATAATTCTGTGGATGAAGTCACTGGTAGAATATATCTCATGGCGAAGGACCAACATGGTTGCCGCTTTTTGCAAAGAAAAATATCAGAGGGCACCTCTGAAGATATCGAAAAGATATTTGTTGAGATCATTGATCACATTGTCGAGCTCATGACGGATCCCTTCGGAAATTACCTGGTCCAGAAGCTGCTTGAGGTGTGCAATGAGGATCAGAGAATGCAAATACTTCATGCCATCACAAGAAAAGCTGGAGATCTTGTCAGAATTTCATGTGACATGCATGGGTTGATTCCTCTCTCCCTCTTTTTCTCTATTTCTGCATTGTTGGTTTTGCTGGCGTGAGTACGTGTATATGCGCATGTGTCTGTTTGTCTGTTCTATAATAGTAAGTGCTAATTTTTGTTCATTTGTATATTATTTAGTTATTTTGTTGTTTCAAAAACAGGACTCGGGCTGTTCAGAAGGTTATTGAAACCCTTAAGAGTCCAGAGCAGTTTTCCTTGGTTGTCTCATCATTGAAACCTAGTATAGTGACACTCATAAAAAATATGAACGGAAATCATGTTGCACAGCGCTGCTTATTGTATTTACAGCCAGAGCACAGCAAGGTAACCCCCTGCTCTCTGTATATTTTGTTCATTTGCATTGTTCTTTGTTTAGGTGTTCTATGTATCCTCTTAAATGTAATATACCTAAAAAATAACTGTCATTCACATTTCCCAGTTTGATATTTAATAAGTAACATGTAGAAAGAAGTTCATGATGAATTGAAGTTTGCTTTTACAATAATAAGATCACGTTTTTCTGTGAAATGTAGAGATGGGCACAAGGGTCACTACCACTGGAAAATAAGCATTGTAGAATAATCAGAATTATATTCTACAGTTGTGCCTTTGAAGTTTCCATACTTACTGCGTTGATTAATGCATAGCGATCAAATATGTTTGCAATAGATGGAATGAAACTATCTATAGATTCACCATTTTTCTAGTATATTGATTATGATGTTACTTCCAATTTGGTAGTGCTTATATTTTTCTTTTTCCTACTTTTTCATTCATGTATTATGATGATTCCTTTTATGTTTATGCCCTTAAGTGTTATAAAAAGTAAAGCAAATTGATTTCATTTTGTAGAATTTCCGTAAGATCACTTAGTTAAATTATTTGTCTTCACACGTGGATGCATCTGATGACAATTCTGTTTGTTTTGAGTCCTACTGTCATATAGAAATTAAAATTAGATGTCTTGTATTTCTGGAAAAAGTGATTTGATTGATGGGATTATGATTGCTCCTGCAGTTCCTCTTTGAAGCTGCAACTAATAATTGTGTTGAGCTTGCAACTGATCGCCATGGCTGTTGTGTGCTTCAAAAATGCCTTACTCATTCCGAGGATGAGCATAGACGTCGTTTAATCTGTGAAATCACTTCAAATGCTCTAATCCTTTCACAAGATGCATTCGGGTACTGTATATTTCCTCTTTCTGAACCGTATCTTTACCTAATTTTCAGAGTCAATAACTGCAAGATTGTTTCATTCTCTTCTCTCTTTATGAATGGTGTTTGGATTCACTTTTTCTAAGAAGTGGTGGTATATTAGTCAAAAGTATAAATAACATCCATATGAACGACAGAAGAATGATATGCACTGCCACATATGCACTGCCACTCTCACTGCCACCCTTGATAGATGGTTGAGGCTTTTGTTCATTGGAACTTGATAATTATTGGATACTGTAATATGTATTAGAAAGTTGCATTTTGTCCAAGGTTTTTATTTCCTTCTCTGTTTGTTTATTCTATGAAGGAAGAGAACTGGAAAGAAATAAATTATTGAGAAAAGAACTTAAAACTTTCTGAAACTTTTTCCCTTTTTGGATAATTCTCAGGATTTTCATTGGTAGGTTAATACTCAAAATTTGCTGAGGTTGTCTTTACTTGTGCATAATAAACATACAATTTTAAGATTCAAACTCTTTTTATCGTGCAGGAACTATGTTGTGCAATTTGTGTTTGAGCTTCGACTCCCATGGGCAACAATGAATATTCTTGATCAGTTGGAGGGTAACTATGGGGATTTGTCCATGCAGAAGTACAGTAGTAATGTGGTTGAGAAATGCCTAAAATATTCAAATGAGGAATGCCGTGCTCGTATAATCCGGGAGCTGATAAGTAATGCTCACCTGGATCAAGTCATGCTAGATCCTTATGGAAACTATGTTATTCAAGCAGCATTGCATCAATCAAAGGTGCGCAATTTCATTGTTTGTCAAACCATTGTTATTATGACAAAATTCTTTAAGCATGTCCTGTATAAAATGAAACCTGAAGCTTGGTAACTAGTATATGGTTTTGGACTATTTTCTTTTATTTGATGGAATATCCTTTTTTTTTTTGAATAATTTTTTATATTTTCGTTAACAGGGAACACTTCATGCTGCATTGGTGGATGCCATAAGACCTCATGTACCTGTTCTGCGGACCAGCCCATATGGGAAGAAAGTTCTATCTAGCAATAGCTTGAAGAAATAATCTGCAAGCTGGATCAAATAAATGTTTTTCTTTGATGCTGTATATTCTCCTCGGCAGTGCAAACCTTAGGTATAGTAGTTTGAGATGATCCTGTAACTTCTGTAATAAGCAGGTGAAGAAAAGCTCCGAGTTCAGCTCTATTTTCTTGATTTTGAAGCATTGATCTGAAAAATGGGTCAAGGGATGGCTTTAACGGCTCATCTGGAATGAAAAGAGCTGTTTTAGGCTTTCTTGTTTTCCAATTCAAGTTTCATTTTGGACTTGCAACAAATTTTGCATAACGTGGAATCCACGTGTATGTAGAACGACAATTTTTTTTTTTTTTTTCCATAGAAATAAATCGATGAGAAGAAAATGTAAAGTTCTTTGAGCTTCTGGGAATTGTATTAAGAGTTTTTTTTTTTTTTTTTTTTCACTGAAGCTCAAAGTTGGTAAATTGTTGCGAGAAGAAGATCCTTTTAAGCTTCCTTGTCTATATATTCCAGACTATTTTCGAGTGTACATTTCTTGTCTATAAAATGCCACGATTGGGGCAGTAATTATGTTATCGTATATGTTTTTATTCCTCTATTAAATCTAGGTTCTGAAATTTAGTTTGCCATCAGTTTGCTGTAACACCCAGAATTCTGTATGAAGTGATAAATGTCCACCAGCAAGATTAAGAGTAGCCGAAGGGCGAAACAAAGACAAGAGATGCATATGTATATAGGCAAATACTTGACAAGTTAAAGATTTTGTGAAATGATCTTGGTTGATCGATTCTCTTCAATCTTCTTGTCAGGAAAGCGAAAGAAACAAGAAACCGCTGTTTGAAAATCATATAAACATCTTTGTATCATCTTGAAATAATGCTATGAACAAAATCGTACAAGCTATTCTAGATATTTCAGGCAGTTTATGGCTCAGCGAGCCCTTTTATCTTCTGTTGCTCATGAACAATCACCAATTTTATGGCAAATTCATGGCTTTAATTTTTGCCGAAACCAAATAACGACTTGATGGCATTGATGGCATTCTCATTGATAAAAGATTCATCATACTTCTTCAAAAGAGTATCAAATTCCTCAGAAGTTCTGAGATTGGCAAGGTCAGGATCTGTCCGGATTCTCTGTTAACAACGATGACAATTTCAGATACCTCATAGACTCACATATTGAATAAAAAAACCAAAGTACTTGTTCTAAATGATAGATTACCTTGAAGTCTTCATATCCTGCTTCCATGGCATCTTCAAGAGCCGAGAGCCCAGCTTTTACCTGGTCATGTTCAAAGATATCATGAAATTTCATTAACACAGTTGGAACTTAGACGATGTTTGTCTCCATCATCTGCCATAATCGAAGCAATATATGTGATAGTCTTTTGTTAATGCAAACAAGACAACACCTGATTAAGCTTAGAATAACAACATGCCACATTGTAACATGCTACTGCAGCTTCGGTTGCACTTGGTTTTGATCCCAATACAGACTCAAATTTCACCAAAGCTTCCTCAGATTTCCCAGCCCTTAATAAGCCAGACGGGAAATGGAAAAGAACGATTAGCCACACGAATAACTGAGAAAGCATGAAATGCGGTAGAAATAGGATGAATCTTAATCACGAAAAGCGAAGTACTTGGCTGAATCGAAATGAAACTGTGGTTCACTGGCCTATTGTTAGAAAGTGAATGCAAATCGAAAAGGACTAGAAAAGGATCAATTGCCAGGATTTACTTGTAAAGTTGCAGCCCTTCACGGAGGTCCCTTTCTCTTTGTTCTTTCTGCTCCTTTTTTCTCAAGTAATTTTGCATCTGAAATCAAAATCAAATTGTAGAGACTACACTAGTGTTATCTTACAAAAAACTTGAAAAAATTTCCTACACTAAAAAGCAAAGGAGATGAAGAGCTGTAGTATGCAATTTCAGCTTCATTGTAACTATCATTCTTAAAGAAATAATACTCACTTGGATTTCTCTCACTCTGTTACTAATTACACCAGAGTTCCTCTCAGCTCTTATAATCTCCTTTTCTGTCAATTCACCTGTTTCCTCCAACTTCCCTGCAAAACATATCGATGTACTCATTACTTCAAATCGCAATGCATAATTCATGAAAAAATTATAACCATTGACAACTAATACGAGTGGAAATTGAATTTCTAACAAACTTTTTGTCATCATTCCATTTCCAATAAATCTTGAACTGAAGGTTGTTAGAGTGAAAGTAAGGATGGATGAAGAACCAACCATATCTCTTTTGCATTTTCATGAGTAACGGGCCAATTCGCTGGCGGATGGTGTACATTGTTCTCCCATATTCGGCAGCAGGCCATATTTCTGTCCCAAACACAGCACTGCATTCAATTTAGAACTCCCTATGTCACATTCTCATCCATGAATGCATTCAAATTTGAACAGAATTACACAACAATCTCAAGCACATATCTAATAAACCGAAAACAATAATCAAACAGATATGCTAAGCTCAAATCTCTTCAAAATTTGCAAAGAACACCAGTAGAACCTTGAAATAAATTTAGCCCTTCACAATTTCACTGACAAACCCCACATGCCGTTCATTTTTTTTTTTAATCAGATCAATCAGTTATACACATACAAAAGAATCATTTACTCAATTTTGTGCCTCTAATTGACCTTTCAAAGAACTAAATCTTGAAAATTGAGAAAGAACAATCAAAACACACCTGGTGGCAAGGACTTTATCTCCAACAGTGAATTTGCCAGTCTTGTCAGCTGAGCCACCAGGAGCAATAGCATCAATGTAAGTGCCACCATCTCTTCCCTTAGCGAACCTGAGTCCATAAGGCTGTTCAATCTCCACCTCATATTCTTCATACTCTTCTTCCTTCTTTTCACCTTCACTCTCAGTCTTTGATGTCTGTGCCTCAGTTTCTGAAGCTTTAACCACCAAAACAGAAGGTTTCACCAAAAAGGTATTGCAAGAACAGCTCGAGGAGCTCAAAAACAAGTTTTTCTTGGAAAAAAAATGTTTAGTTTGTGAGACTTGCAAAGGGTTTTGTTTGGAAGCTTGAATGGTGGCTCTAGGCAAAGGCGGTGAAGAGTAAAGCGAAGCATAGCTACTTGGAGCTAAAGACATGGCTGATGGTTACAGGAACTGCTTCTTTAGCTTCTTGAGTTTGAATTTTGAGCTCAGAGATGAAGTGTGGCAGGCATTTGAGAAGACTTTAGAGTTGGATTTTGGGAGGGAGAGACAAGGAAGAGGTTTAGATTACAGGTACTTCACTAGTGGCTCTGAATCATTGTTTTGTTTGTCTTTGATTCTACGATTTGGTGCCACGTGGCTGTCTGTGAGTGGTTGTAAAAGTAGTTACAAATTTAGTGAGAGTGAATACATAATTGGGATTTCCTTGTACAAATTTTAATTACTGTAAGCATGTTTAATAGTTTCTATCTTAAAACTTTATTATATATAGTGACATTGTTGTTTTTTTTTTTTTTTTTTACTTAAAATATTAATTAGATAACATTATCATATTAAAACTGGATTATTTTTGTTGGTTAGGTGGATCATTATTCTGTCATTACAAAGGTCAGAGAGTTGAATAATTTTGAATCATAAGTGTTTCAAAGTGTGGTTGTAAGGATGAAGTTATAATACTTGGTTGGTGTTAAGTGTCTGATCCTAATAATTTACTTAATTGTCGTCTATCTTAATTTAAGAACTTGATGAATTAAACAACGATTTTGTGAGAAAATCGTATACCAAATGGGTCATCTCACTTTTTTTCTTTCTTTTGAAAAGTAAAATAGATTTTTTTTTTGACATATAAGCATATTCTTTAGTCACCAAAATATTCTATGCAAAATACCCAAGACTTGAAAAAAAAGTGGACAAGTTATGGAGAGAATTGGTGAGGTTGAAGAAGCATTGGAAAGCATAGGGTCATGTCCAAACTTGTCATCAGGAATCAATATATCCCATTTAAACCTTCTGATATACTATGCAAGAAAACAAGTATTTGAAGCCTTGCAAACTAATGCCCTGGACACATTCTTGGCCTCCTCCAAATGGAACATGTGAATACGGAGTTTGTCCTTCTCCTTAGAACCTCATTGCATCTAGCTTTTTTTGGATTTGAGAAGAGCCTCTGTAACAAAAATTCAGCCTCAAGCCAATTCTTCTCACCAGCAAATGAATATTTCGGATGGTGTTGTGACAAGACCCAACCGCAATTTGAGGATGCTAGCTCGCTTGCTGGATTAAAGGGAAGATTGAAGACTAATTAATTCCCCATGTTATTACCATAAAGAGAGTGCTTGATTTAATTCCTAAAGTAAGAAGGATTGCTTATGGATGAGACTCTATTTATAAGGGATGACATTTTTAATTTGGCAAGGAATAATAATCCTCTGCTTCCTTCTTAATACTTCTCTTCTTCCTAAACTCAAAATTCTTTCTACTTCTGCAATTCTGTCATTTCTCTATCACTGCCTCTCATTTTTGTGCGTCGACCCTGTACTCCAGTATAACTACAAGAACCTGTACTCCAGTATAACTACAAGAAGTTGAAGCAAATAGTAAACAGTAAGGCAAACATTTAGCACCCAAAACAAGCAATCACGCTAAAGTCTATCACCCGATACATTTTTGAAGTAATTTAAAACTATTAAAAATTAGAGGAGTAAAAAATAAAATAAAGAAAAACACAATATACGAAGAATATCAACCGTACAGAGACACAATATTTTACGTGGTTAGACATAATTTACCTATGTCTACGGATGAGAGATATCCACTATACTTATAAGAACATAATACATAAGTACATCACGCCATCAATCTACTACTTATGTGGGAATTCTACCATATGGTGTTTTATTAGTATAACACCATCAACCTAATACTTAGGCAGACATCTTGTTCCTATGGTGTTTAATACCCTTAGTATTTACTCGATACCTAGAACCCTCTACCCTATAGTACCCTTACATCAAAACCCTTGTGTCCTCACATTCTCTATTTCTCTTATTCCTTCTCTCATAACCTTGAATTGGTTCTAACCCCTCTATTTATAGGTAGAATAAGACATTGTTTTTCTACGAGGATTCATATTTTAAATCCTAATATGACTCCTCCAACTTAATTCGTTCTCCTATTTTAACTCTAAATAAAATTCTAAACCAATTCTTCTTTCCTAATACAACTCAAAGTAAAGGAAAACAAATATTCTCAATTTCAAATTCCTAAAATAGAAATTTGTCGAAAACTTAAATTCATTTTTCTTCTTGCTCGCCTTTTCTTCTTCAGCAATTACCAAAAAGTATTCACATTCCAACACTCCTCCTTAAACCTTTTTGGTATTGACTTCAAAGCTTGTTCTTCATTCTCTTACTCCTCCTTACTTCTTGGATGTATCTCTCACAACTTATAGTTATTCAAAGCATCTTCTTCGGTGTGCTTTCTTCTGGACTTCTTCGGAGTCCCATCGGACTATAGGCTTCTATATCCGATCAAAGATGACTTTTCAATCCTCTCCCTCAAGCTTACTACCCATTTTCTTCAAGTGTATAAGCTTCACACAACCAAGCACATTACATGCTTTGTTGTTCTTCCGCCCTCCAATCTTTTGTTGGAGTGGCACGATGGCTTTAGTATCCTCTCGTTGATCCCATCATTGACATTCTTGCAAACCATCACCCTACAATTT